TCTGTTGACTCGGGTCTGTTACAAAAATGAAACTTAAATATGTAATTGTTGCAATGTTTTTATTTGTTAGGAAGTAGTCATTGTAAGTGCTGTCCGGACACCCATTGGATCGTTCCAAGGATCCCTTTTCTCACAACCAGCCACTAAACTTGGTTCCATTGCAATTAAAGGTGCAATAGAAAGAGCAGGTAAGTGATGAAGATTCATGAATTTAGCATGCTTCATGACTGATTTCCTGCAAATCTGCCTGAATGCTTAATCTTGTCCATTCACTTTGAAGAAAGCAGCAATTGAAGGCCACAACAACTTAGTCTGTACAACAGTGCACTTTGAAAGCAGGAAAAACTCTGCTTTGCTCCACATCTTATGCTTAGATTAAGTGTAGAATTCCTGTACTAAGAGCAGAGATAGCTGCCATTAGATAAGCTTTTAAAGGACTGTGTTCCACCCATGAATAAAAGCTTAATGGAAATTCTAGCTGCTTCACTATTTTATCATCCTGGGTTATTATTCATACTCCTCCCTCCCTCCCTTTCTTTCTTGATAATATGCTCATAACACAGTACCTCGTATTTCATTATTGGAAATTACTTCTCTGATTGCCATTAGGTATCCCTGTGAAAGAAGTGAAGGAAGTATACATGGGTAATGTCATCCAGGCTGGGCAAGGACAAGCTCCTGCAAGACAAGCAACTCTTGGTGCAGGTACTAAAGTTGTTTTCCTGCTCGTAGCTACTTAGGGCACATGTAGAGTTTACCTAGCTAAATAAAGCTATAAGAAACTGGAAGTAAATTTGTTGTTGTGCAGCATATAGGGTATTCTCAAGTCCAAAAAAAGAGAAAAATATAATTGGAGAATAATATTCACATAATACTCAATAAGGGGATGCAGTGGTGCAGTGGGTTAAACCGGAGCCGCTGGGCTGGTTGATTGAAAGGTTGACAGTTCGAATCCGCAGAAGGGGTGAGCTCCCGTACTCTGTCCCAGCTCCTGCCAACCTTGCAGTTCGAAAGCATGCAAATGCAAGTAGATAAAAAGGTTCCACTTCGGTGGGAAGGTAACAGCATTCTGGGCACCTCAGTGTTTAGTCATGCTGGCCACTTGACCATGGAAACTGTCTGCGAACAAACGCTGGCTCCCTCGGCTAGGAAACGGGAGATGAGCACTGCTCCTAAGAGTCAGACATGACTGGACTTTAATGTCATGGGGAAACCTTTACCTTTTTTACCTTTAATACACAATAGCCTGAAAACAAATGAACTAGAGTTTTGAGTTTCAACCTAAATAAGTCTTCTCGTTTGTTTGTTTTTTAACACCCGTATTCAGAACTGGGAAAGTTTCTCCTTTGCCTTTTTCTGTTTTCCATTCCGTAGCTCCCCATCTTACCTAGCGGAGTATATGTACCTGTATCTCAGGAGTAACTCATGGGCCTTACGCACTTGTCATGGCCGTTTCTGTGACCCTTACTGCTGCACTGCTGACATTTAGTGTGGTGGTAGAGGCAGTGGGAAAACTACCCCCTTTTAAGTAAAAATTGAAGTATGGCCAAAAAAAAGAAAGAAAAGTAGGGGGCTGTTTTAAAGTGAAATGGCCCTTTTGCTTTAAAGAGGAGTTATTTTTTCTGATACTGCATTGCCAGATTTCAATAACTTCACAGTGCGAAAGCAGAGGTGTGGCTTCCCATCCCTTTTCTGTACAAGATAGTCAGCTGAATGGGAGTGTATGGCTAGAATGGTTTGTCGTGCTGGAGTGAAAAGGGATGACTCTGTAAGACAGAATGTTTGTTTGCAGAAGGGACTAAGAGAATTCAGGAAAGGTCTTTATCTTTCAGGGAGCTGACACTGGCCTGGGACAGTAGAAAAATATTCTGTTGGGTGATACATTTGAGATTCTGTTGTATGAATTCCTTTTTAACTTACGAAAGTTGCCACCATAGTTACAGTTGGCTGACAATTCCTATTATCATCTTAATAATTTATTTTGTTCTTAATTTGGCTTAGGTTTACCAGTTTCTGTTCCTTGTACAACTGTTAACAAAGTTTGTGCTTCTGGAATGAAATCTATTATGATGGCAGCACAGAGTCTGATGTGTGGAAGTCAGGTAGGATAATTGTATGCTGAGAAGATTTGTGAATATGTGGAAATATGTGAAGACTAATCTATCTTCTGTGTATTAATGAGCACCATTCATGGGAATTTTTGTGCATGCTTCTTTGAGGTGATGCTCTTGTGGAAATACTTTTTTAACTGGGGCATGTGAAGGAGATGCTGCTTACACTACTTTGATTGTTGATACTACTTTGCAACAAAATATGGCTTGTTTACAGTTATAATATATATGTATACTTTGAATGTTAAGGTCATTTTAAGTGTTTGTCTGAAGAGGAAAACAAAGCATCATAAAATCCTAAGTGTATTTTATTTCTATCCTCTTTATGAGATGCAAAAATGACCAAAGTAGCTGTAAAATGTGTCTGGACAGGATGTGATGGTGGCTGGTGGAATGGAGAGCATGTCTAATGTACCCTATACAATGAGCAGAGGAACAACACCTTACGGAGGGGTGAAGCTTGAAGACTTGATTGTAAAAGATGGCTTGACAGATGTTTACAACAGCATCCACATGGTAAATATTGGTCTTAGCATTTTAAATTATATTTTATTTTTTTAAATGAATGTAGTGAATTCTGGATCATAGAAGTTAAGAAGACTAATCTTTGAATAAAAGGAAATTACTATATTTAGCAGTTTTCCCAGCTCTGCTGAATTTCAGCATATATTGGCTTGGACAGAATCACTTCTTATAAAGAATTGAGAGCAGATTGCTACAGAAAATGCTGGTCTCACACTGAGTTGTGAAATGTGGTGCTTTGCTAAGCGTACACCTGATCTAGAAACAATTTTTGAAAGGACTTTATGCTTTCCTTTGCCTTTCTACCCCCACCTTCCCCAGGGTAATTGTGCAGAAAATACTGCTAAGAAGTTTTCTATATCACGGGAAGATCAAGATGCATACGCTATAAAATCATATACCAAAAGCAAAGAAGGCTGGGACTCCGGAGCTTTTGCAAAGGAAATTATACCTGTTACTATTTCTCAGAAAGGTAGTATGATATCATGTATAGCACTTCTATATTATGTTTTATGACATATTACACTAATGACTGAAAAATTGAGATTGGTATAAACATTCTATTTTGACAGACATAACTTGAGACAATGAAAATAGACTATTTTTTTCTTTGCCTATTTTTGTTGGAATGGAGCAAAAATAACTAATGAGGAATAACACTAATGCTTCAGCAGCATTAGCCACACCATATCCTTTAGGTTAGACAAAACTTTACTGTGTTGTTTTTCAGTTATGCTTCTAATACTTTTTGACACCTGTCAAAGTAATTGATAGAGACAATAGTGTCTAGAATCAATTTGAAATGAATGTTTACAATATGCTTTCATGTAATGCATTCTCTCCCCAGAATAATAGTGCATTGTCAGAAGTCAGATTGTCCTTCCTCTTGAAGGTATGGGGTCTAAAATAGTATCATCCAGAAGGCTGGTATTATTTACTTCCCCAGACCAGCCCTGTCTCAATGGCAGAAGGGTTATTCTGAAGTTCCAGTTATGAGCTCCTAAGTTATTCATCGTGCTCATGTGCACATTTTCCATTTATGAATAGGACAATGCAAAGGACAACAGGCCATTGGTTTCTCAACTACTGTCTTAACCACAAGATTTCACTGAACAGAAAAATGTTCTTGGCTGAGGTCCCACAAGATTGTAGTTCTGAGACCCAATGAATATTTCCCATATACCTATGTGCCTCTCAGAAGGCAGGTTGCTGTACTACTACAAGGGGGAAAGAAAAGGAAGCTTAAAAACTTATTGCAAATTCCTGTTTTGCTTTGTTTTGTTTTGGCACCTAAGGATCCTTGGTGATGTCTCACTATACTAAATGATTTTTTCAGCTTGAAACTGTTAATCTTGAATATTCTTGGAATACAGTTTTTCCAAGAATTCTTGTTTGTGTTTTATTTCAAATCATCTGATAGTTACAGTGTATTTTCTGCACTGCACTGGCTTGGCCTAAAGAAAACAAAAGCCCTACATGTTGGATGACATTGTTTTCAGACCCTGTCCATCCTTTCATTTTTGTGGCTTGCTAGCAAATCTAGATACGTCTCTCCCTTTTTTCAGAAAAGTTAAGGTAATGGAATGATGTGTCATACAGCAGCAGCACAAGGGGTATAGGATGCAGGAAGTGATACATGGATGAGCATCTCTCACTTGTGAAGTTAGGAAATGCCAGCCTTCTAGCCAGGTTACTAAGGAGGCTGATGGTATATCTTTGTAGGGCTGGATTCATCTATGAGATTCATCTTTTTACTAAATAAACTCTTATTTTTAGGGAAACCAGACACAGAGATTAAAGAAGATGAGGAATACAAGCGTGTTGACTTTACTAAAGTTCCAAAGCTGAGGGCAGTTTTTCAAAAAGAAAATGGTAAGCTTAGAAAAGATGCCAACTAATTTTTAATGTTGTAAAACTTCCTTCAGGCCATAGTTCAGATAAATTATTTCTTTTGATCTGACTGAGCACAAGGGGGATAGGACTAAAAATACTGGCATAATTTAGCTTGAAGTTCTTTAGTGCCAGTAACAAGGCAGTGGAAGAGGCCTTTCAGCCTTTTAAGATGTGGGCTGGGGAACCACGCAAAAGCTGGGAAGCCACCAAATGGTGGGTGGGGCCATAGGAAGTGGGCGTGGGTGTATGGGGAAACAAGATGGGCCAGACATTGCTCCTGAGCCTGAAGATCTGCAGCCCTGCTACATGTTGTGTAGCCAGTGTTTCAAGATAACTAACTGCTGGTAAAACTACAGAGGACTGGAAGGCATTCATGCCACTTTTCCTGAAAGATACTTTTTTTCAGGAACCGTAACTGCTGCCAATGCCAGTACGCTGAATGATGGAGCTGCTGCTTTGGTTCTGATGACATCAGAAGCAGCCAAACGACTGAATGCTAAACCATTGGCTAAGGTAGTAGGTAAGAATCTTGTATGTCTAGTGAAATTTAGTAAATGCTAGTGTGACCCTGACTGGTAGATGTGATGTAGTTTAATTTTTCTTCAATGTGCAGGTTATGGTTCAAGGTCCTTAAAAAGATCAGTAGATACTGCCATTGTTTCAAGTTCTGGTAGACGCTATAAAATTCTTGACATATTTGGTCCTCTCAGCTGTTTCTCTAAGACTGGGTACTTAATGTATCTTAAACATCAGAACCCTATGCAGTTTTAGAGAGAAAAGACTTACAATGCTGGGATTTGTAGCTTTTTTCTCTGTAAGTCTACATAAGACTATACCCTAAAAAAGGGATCTTAAAAATGTTGTCAAAGGAGCTGTAACCACATCTAGATCAGATGTCAATGCAAGCATAAAACTCTACATATTTATACATGAATACTATAGACATAGCTCAGATAACAAGATGTTTCTGATTTTACGATTGTTCTTTTGTAGCCTTTGCAGATGCTGCTGTTGATCCTATTGACTTCCCAATTGCACCAGCACATGCTGTTCCTAAGGTAGGAACTTCTACCAATCTTTTACCTTCAAACCAGTTTTTCCTGAAAGCAGGCAATGAAATACTTTGAAATATTACAAGCTACTCTGGGGCAGTGTACAATATCATATACAAGTTAATGTTTTAATAGTAAGAAAGTAAAACATGAATAATTATTTCTTTGTAGCTACTGCCAAAAAGAAATTCACAAACAGCAATGTTGGTGTGTTTTTTCCAGATACTTAATCAGACAGGACTCAAAAAGGAAGATATTGCAATGTGGGAAATCAATGAAGCATTCAGTGTTGTTGTCCTAGCAAACATTAAAATGTTAGATGTTGATCCACAGAAGGTGAACATTCATGGAGGAGCAGTCTCTTTGGGACATCCAATTGGGTAAATAGAAATAACACACTTGTCTGCACAATAAGAGGAGTTACCTACTGGAATCCCATTTCCCATTTCATAAAACACTTACTTTACAGTTATCTTATGATTGGTGGCAACCAATAAAAGATGACAAAGTACTTCTAGTTGTGTTCATTTAGTTGAAGATTAGCATTTCCTTGAATTGGATAAAAAAAACGCTTCACTTTTTGAAGTGTTCATTCTTTGTATTTTTAAAAATGAAATCTTGAGGCTATGCCGAAGACATCCAGATTTATATTGTTAACTGTTTGCATTGTATGCAGTATTTTGCTTCACAATACACTGGGAAGAAAGTTACAGTCTGTTGATGAATATCTAAAGTTCTTGGTTCAAATCTCTATGGGGAGGGATCCTGTGACCCTCCCAGATTTGGTGAGGCTACATCTTCCTTTAACCCTGATTTTTGTCCACAGCTGAAGCTGAAAGCAGCTCAGCATCATCTGAAGGGCTGCAGGTTCCTTGGTCTTGATCTAGCATATCTGGTTCAGGAACAGCTGGGCCAGACCCCTACCTGAGACATTGGAGAGTTGTTTCGAAACAGAGCAATTTGTCCTACATTAGCTACACCAGTAGACTGACCTAGGACAAAACAGGTTATTTTAGGTGCTTGCACATTATCTGTGTACTACTTTGCCTCAACATTTGTAGTCTTTATCCCCCTGATGTACTTAAATCTTCAACGTACTCAGTGGTTAAGTGTTGTCACAGCTCCTGGGAGGGAAGTTCATTAGGCTGTAGTTCCAGTAGCTTTGGCTGTAAGGGTGTTGAGCCTCTTTCAGAGGGCTGAATTTGAATAAGCTTTGGTGGCTGCATTGCAGTAATGCTTGGAGCTTGAAGGTAAGGGATAGGACCAAAAATACCCAGATAACTTAGCTTAAAGTTCTTACAGCCAATACCAAAGCCCAGGACTGGCATTTCAACCTTTTAGAACAGGAAAAACCATTGTACAAAAGCCAGGAAACAACCAAAAAGTGGTTAAAGAAAGGGGTATTGTCATATGTAGAACTCTGGAGGGTGTGTCTTAAGGTCATTCAGTGGGCTTCATAACTGAGTTAGATGCTATTTCTCCTGGTATGTTGCTCATAAGTCATAGGCTGAAAAACTAAGTTTAAGGTTAAGCAAACACCAAGCTCTTATCAGTAGTCAATGGACCTCAAACTGAATCAGCACATTTTTTGTGTGTTTTAGGATGTCTGGAGCAAGAATTGTTGTTCACATGGCTCATGCATTAAAGCCAGGAGAGCATGGCCTTGCTGGAATTTGCAATGGAGGAGGAGGAGCATCTGCAATACTGATCCAGAAATTGTAGATGTTAATATAAAGCCTTAAGACTCAAGTGACCAGGTGGCTGTTACAATTATTTATGGAACTGTAACAAAGATGTTTGGACTCAAATCTATCAATGTTTAAATGAAACATTTTTTTAAACTTTATCATGTTTAAATACATGTGGGTTTTTATATCATAGGGACTATAAAGTGTATCGGCTAAACTTCCAATATAAGATAATAAAGGTTCTGTACATCATGATCAACTGTGGACAAACACTTTCTTTTAAATTAGGGGTGAGTAGCCTTCAGGGTTGTAGATTTGTTTGGTTTTTAACATGAACCCCAGTATTTTCCATCTAAAGCCAGTTGCAAAAAAACATATTTAGCACCAAAGAACAGTGTGCTTCCAATCATACTCTTAGGCTCAGAATTCATTTCCAGTACCAGAACTACTCTCAATTCACCGGAGCTCGCCCAAGCTTTCCACTAAAGCAGCTAGGTGGATAAATTCATTTATTGCTACCTCTGGCATTCTCTTTACTACCCCTTCCCACCCCAGCCCAAAAAAAATCACTTGGGAATGCTCATATAGCCACAACTATCTGTGTTCCCTAAGGTCAGGAAAGAATGTGGAAATATTTCCAACTTTGCAGTCTAGATCCTTTGTATCTTCTTGCCAAGATAAAAAGACTGTCAGCACAGCAAAAAATACTTCTCGTGTTTGCCTAACCATAATGCAAAGAATTAGGGTTTCTGAGGCTGGAAAAAATAGCAGGAAGATGTGGTTACCAAATGGGTATTTAACATCCCTAGTGGTGCATACAGGCATCACAACTGGTGTGCAATTGAATAATTTCAGTAAATCAGAACTTGCTCTGCTAGGTGTCATTGATTCATAGGGTCATCAGAAGTTAGAGAAGACTTGCCATCATGTACCAATAATGTTACTTGATTGTCACTTGTTTATTTTAAATCAACTTAGAAGTCCTGTGGCCACTAGATAGAATTTAGATTATCATAGGTTCGCTTAGCTTACCAACAAGGTCAGAATATTCTTCCATCCTTGTAGCTGGGGATTAACCTTGGATCCCCCTCCTTGCTCAGAGCTGGTTGCTTCTCCAATGTCATAACAGCAACCTTAGATGGGCTTTTGGGAGAATGGTGGGGGTGAATGGTGGAAGAAGATGAGTCCTATCCAGACATGAGGTATTGGGGGAAAACTTCAGTCCCCTTTCTCCCTGTTCTGAGGTGCCGCACTTCCTTTGCAGGGCAGGAAAAACACAGTGACAACCTTCTTCACTCCTCCCATTTTGCATAGGATGCCCATAATCCTTGCATTTCAGAGGGCTATGTGCACCCCTATTGCCCTGTGTTCAGATGAAAATCTAAAATACTTAAAACTTGCTAGCTCTCAAAGTATTGCATCCCTTCTGCTTCGCTCTTAGCCATATGCTACATGGCTTCTACTTAAGAGCAGCACATTCAGACGAGTGGAATGAACAGGCTTCTAAACGCTGCAGGTGGCAAAGATTAGTCTTGTTCTAAAGTGCCATGCCATGCAGTTTAAATGAAAATAGTAGGGGCAAGCACTGCAAACTTAAGGGCTGTGCTGTATCAGACAAAGGCTCATCTATTCACCAGTAAGTTTCTACAGCTGCCGAATGGTACACAACTACCACAGAACCCTCCCTATCAATTACTATACAGAGACATACTGCCTCTGATTTTGGAGATAATACATAATCTTAGTTGTCATTGACAGCCCTATCCTTCATGGATTTAATTCCTTTTTTGGAGCCATCTTGTATTGAATTCTATAGTTTCAAATACTTTACACAACATGTTATCTATTTTGAATCTCCCATCATTCAAATTCCAGGGTGGGAGTGTGAGGAAAATCTATACACAGAATTCTAAATGTGGCTGAACTACAGATTTGTACAAGGGCTTTAAAATACTGGCACTTTTATTTTTGATTCTTAATAATGGTATCTGCCTTCTTCCAGTGTAGCTAAATTAAAAAGCTCTAATCCCAATATGGTTTCTCAGAAGATCCCCCAGTTTAAACTTGCAAAAACTGACCATATATTCCTACTCTTTTTCTCTGTTCAAATCACATGGGTGGAGGAAGGGACAGCAAAAAAGCCACTGGCTCCTCTTCTGTGGCCCTAGACCACTGCACATTAAGAGCTGAACATACGTAACAGCAAGGTACATTTTTACTCACAAAGGATAGAAGATCAAAGTTTTAAATTGTACAGGGATCTTAATGAGTAGAAAAAGGCTTGCCAGCACAGAGAGCTGTTTCTTAACAGGTGGAGGGCCGTAGCAATAGGCAATGAGGATGTTAATGGAGATGGTGGTAGGGGGCCAAAGGGCTCAATCTCCCAAAACGGTCCTCACTTTATGGGCAATGAAACTTCTGAGTAGGCAGGCAGTGTTCTTCAGGGTAAGTTTCTAGTACTACTATTCTCTTTATTGAACAGGATAAACCAAAGTTTCCAGAAATGAGTAAAACCTCAATTTCCCAGCAGAATCTACTTCATCAGCCGCTTCAAAAAAAACAAACAAACAAAAACACGGACACACAAAAGCAAGCAGTATTTACATGTGTATTTAAAAAGTTAAATAGAACAAAAATAAATTGTCTCTTAAGATTCCTAAGAATAAGAAAGTTTTAAAACTTTCATTGGCAGACTTGCAAATATAAGGAAAAACAGTCAAAAGGGAACAGGAAAAGATTCCCATTACAAAATAAACTGAATTATCTCATTTAAAAGTTAGCTAGCTACTTGTTGAAGACTTGGGCCAACCATTAAATCCTATCTTCAATTATAGCCAACTACATGACGCTTAGTTAGATTCAGTGTAGGGCTATAATTCCAAGCACAATAACTTGAAAGCAAGTTCTCCAGCTCAGTGGAGCTTCTAAACATATTTAAGATCATGGGTGTTTGACTTTATGAAAAAGGCAATCAAGTTAATATCATTTTTGCAGGACACTGTCAACACTTGGTGTTAAAATCATCTTACAACTGCAATTTCTGTACAATATTTACACCATCCCACCAAGTAAAACTGTGCAAATTTAATATACAGCCAATTAAGTGCTCTGTCAAAAGATAACCAAATTATTCTTAAGCTAGGAACTTTTTGAGAATCAGAGTTATTTTCTTTTATGAAGAAGAACTACAACATACTGACTGTGCAACTTAACCCACAATGTAGTCTCCTTTCATTCCAAACATGCATGGTAGCACCTGGTTTTAATATATGATTCATTATTTATTCATCATAATGCAAAGATAACAAGAACTTATCTACATCCATTCCAGCAGGAAAGGCAATTGGTAGTTTCTTCTGCTGAAAAAAAAAAGAAACCCATATTAGGACAAGTAAAATTTACATGCATAAAATTATTTGTTATGCAAGACACTAAATCACAAAAAGACAGTCATTTATTTAAAAATACTGTTATACACCATTATTGAGATGCTGTGTCCAATAGCATTTTTTTTACTTTTTCCTTCTGAAGGGCAGACTACCTCAGACCAAATTACAAATACTGTTCAAACTTTTCAGTTTCCAAAGAGTTTGCTAGGCAGCACAAGGAACTGCTGCTTGTATTTCTTGAACACAAATATATAGTTCGCTTACGTATACAAAACTAGTTGCACATTTGAGTTCTATATCCCAAGTACGTAAGTGCTTTAGTCAGCTCAGTGACATTTACCCTTAATTCCCCAAAAGATTTATAAGCACTAAAGGCCCACTAGTCAAACTGGCAATCAACACACTAAAAACCAAAAGCAATTCCTCCTCTAAGGCATGACATAGTCTGAGTAAAGGAATGTATGGGATTGCAACATTAAATAATTAAATTTATCAACAGCTGTTCAGATTTTTCCCTTCTGAAATTTTATGCAATTTTATATAGTCCAACATTGGATTCTATTTTTTGCTTTCTCTTATATCCACAATGAACCAATACAATGCAAAAGAATTAGTAAGTTTTCCTCTTTCTTTTGTCTGAATGCTAGCTTATAAAAAAAGGTAACACTTGTTTGAGCAAACCAAGCAGGCAAGACCAAACACATGTGACCTGTCCATTACAAGCACAAGAGAAGTCTGCCTATAAAGAACTCTCCCTAATCTGGCTCCTGCCCAAACCTTTCTCATGAAAAGATGGGAGAAAAGAGCATTCAATGCAGAGTGAAATGCAAGGATTCCTTCCCCAAAAGTTTATGAGTACCAACAGAGGCTTGGGGAAAGATGCTTGCTGGTCATACTGTAGAACAGATATTTCCAGATGGGATGTTTGGCTTGATACTACTGGAAAGGGCTGCTATTCTTCCACATGGAGCCACTATGCTAGTACAGAAACATAATATACATGCTATATTTATATTTAAAATATGGGATCTACTTACCTTTACTTTCTTCTTTTTTATTGGCATTGTAAAGTTCTGAAGGTCTTTTTTACAGGCACCCCGCGAATTCCTTTCGCAATCAATCAAGTCTTCCTGCTTCCTTTTTTTGCCTGCACTTCTTAAAGACCTAAACTGTTGTGTATTGTCTTTAAGAGGAGTAGTTGTACTAGTCCTTGCAATAGCTGCCCGTGAAAGAATCATCAAAGTGTGGGCAGCCATACTAACACTGTTCTCACTGCCCGTTTCACTAGCCGGGCTACAGGCTGGTAAGTCAGGAGTTGCTGGAGGTACCATGATCCTTGGGGTTGTACTATCTTCACTATACCGTCTACATGTTGGTGTCCTTATCATATCAAAGGTATCATCGGAATGCCTATCACCAGTTCCTGAAGGTGTGCGGGGTACTGGCAAATCCGCACTTTCAGGAAGTTTAGTGGCAGGACTGTGCCTCTGAATGTCATGTAGCATTTCCACAGCTTGTTTAGTTAATGGACTGGTCAAGCTATGGACTTGGCTGGGAGATCTAGTCTGGTCTTTTTTTGAATCCTTTGCAGGCAAAACTCCCGAAATTTTACTATTTGCATTTGACTGAAACCCTTGTTTTTTAGTTAATTCTTGAGCCAAGGTACTGTTCTCATTACGAAGACCAATATTCTGCTGGCTGTTGGATAAGGTTACCATCTCCTGGTTTTGGGCACCTTTGTCAACACTCCTTTCTAATTCATTCTCTTTATTTGCTGTCTGCTTTCTTAAGACATCTGATGCCAGTCCTGGGCCTGAGGTCTTCCTCTCAGGCTGGGTCTCCTTCACAGCTGAAGTTCTGCAGGTAAGATCAGGCTTACATAAAATCCTAGGCAGAGTTCTTTCACGCTCCTTCTTGGTGGACTGCATTTTAGCAGATGAAAGCACAGAATTGGGAGAACTTCCAGGCACCAAAGGAGTTTCATTCCTTTCTTTCTGCAATGCTTGAGTGTTTTCTGCTGGAGTTGTAAAAGTATTGTCAAAGCAAAGCACTCTTCTGTGGTTTTCATTTTGTTTGGAACCAGAATTTGTGGAGTCAACTGTAGCCATCTCCAGCTTTTTTTTTAATTCTTCACAGCTATTCTTGTCCAAGTTTCCAATTCTGAAATTTAAAAAATTAGGGAATATTTGACAATCTGATCAAAAACTATTTCCATTTTTCTGTATTTTTAAAGCTATTGCTGATTACTATAAATCTGTGATACATCTGTTGTACTATGTTGACTCAAGGAGGACATACCCACCTTGAAAATATTTAAAGCAATGAATTCAACTTTTGTTCTAAAATGACAAAAGGGTGGAAGAAAAACCAGGGCACAAGTCATATACATAATTTTCTTTCTTTTTTTGTGAAGTAATGCAGCTCTATTTTAATTGTTTTATCTCTTCTACTGCAAGAAACATGTAATATTTGCTGTGTCCACATAAACACAGTTGGAACTCTCCCTCAGATCATCCATTGTACTCACAAGAGGAAAACTGGCCCTAGAGTAGAAATGGGAGGGCCCTCCTGATTAATTTTCAAGCCAAGGCTTTCTTCTAAAGAGTATGCCTCCTAGTATATTTCAGTGGTAGGCAGTAAGCAGAGATAAGAGGGACCCATTTCTTGTCTTCTGTCAGGCAAGATTTAAATATTAACAGCATGTTTCCCACTAAAGTTCTTTGAAGAACATATGGGAAAAAAAGAGATGCAAGAAAGTTTTGATTTGTTGTATGTACATTCTTGCCAAGATATATATGCTATGAGAACAATGAAGAAAATTACTGAAACTTTTAAAAAGGCTTAAAAAGCAAATAATTAAGGCTAAATAAAGACCAACCTCGTTCATACATAGTGACAACCATGGGGTATTTTGCATGAAGCCACTACAATCTGCATGCCCACAACTGCTGGTTTTTATTATGATTAAAAACCTATGATTGATCTATTCCTTCCTAGCTTGTTGAGCAAGACGTCTGATCCTAAGCTGATAGGAGCTAAACTACGCAGTGGTTAACTCATGGTTTGTTGCTGGGTTCACTATGAACTTGCTTAGCCCCAGAACAATCCAGTGTTCCAGGTGCAGATATCATGTTTCACAATCTATGAAGAAACCAATTGTGAGTTTTGCAGTGAAAGTGGAAGTGGCAGGTATGCTATAGACTGTGTTCCTGCGCATCCCTGACAGTTCATGGTTTCTTTACATTGTGGGCTGTTATGTGCAAACCATACAAAAACAGTCCAAACTAGTCAAATGAAAAATGTATGGTGAAAGCATGGTAATCACATTGTATGTTTGCCAAGTCAACTAAGAGAATGGAATTCCAAAAAATGATTGGTGAAATGGCTGTTGGCTCCACCTTTGACCAGGTGGTGTGTACATTTCAATATATGAGAGTCTGCCCAGGTGCTGGGAACTGAGAAAAGTTTTACTGAATAACTGACCTTTGTATTCGAGAGCCAGTACGATTTACAGAGTCTGATCCATTGGACACCAACTTTCCTAGAATATCAGTATAAAAAACAATCTTAATTAGAAAACAGAAAAACCAATGGTCTCTTTTCAATTGATTTTATCAGAAAAGCTGTTATTCTGTACAGAACAAAACAATAAATCCAATAAACCAATTGCCAGTCTATTGCAATAGCTTTTAAGCTGCAGAATTACGAAAGGATAATCAAGGAAAAAATCATTAAATTATTAAACAAATAATCCATCATTGCCATGTCCAGGGTAGAAAAACACTGAGTTTTCCTTAGCACATCACCAGCTTACCTGCACTAGATTTATTTCTTGGCATCCTCTGAGATTTGGGAGGGAGAGGTAGTTTAGGAATACCTCCACTACCTAAAGAAGTCTGTACTGGCATGTGCAGAACCTTGGAAAATGAAAGAAATGGAGTAAAGATTTCTCATAAGATTCTCTAGCTCAAGAATAACACTGTCCAAATTCAGTAACAGCACCTTACCTGGCAGGAAGGATCTGAGAATGTATTTCCAGTCTGTCCCATTATAGAAACAGGAATCATTCCTACCATTCCTTGCAACACAGGTTGTACTGGAGATGCGATTATAATAGTAGAACCTGAAATTTATTGGAGTCATGTGAGCAATACAATTTTAGTACTTATTCACAGAACTCTTGGAGTTCCCTGTGCTTTCTCTGCACTGACTGGAAATCAGAGAATGATCTAAAACACATGACATAGATCTACTAGCGAAAACATCCTGGCCTTGTAAGTTACAACCAAGGTAGATAGTCTTGGAATCATGTATAAGCAGCCTTAAGCTATTTAGAGAAAGAAGTGTATGTACACAAAGGTAAAAACAGTAAAAGTGTCGTACACTGGAGCCAAGGCAGGGCCCTCAGTTTATTTAAGGCGCCTCAGACTCCTTTGGCTTCCTCTGCCTACCTTACCAAGCGCACTTAGTTAGCATACTGCTGTCTATGACACAATATACAAGTCCTACTACTATGGACACCCCCCCACCCCCGCCTTAAGTCAGTAGAAATGTTTCAAGGGGCTGTCAATCCTATTACAGAGGTGCTGAACCCAAGGACCACATTCTATTGCAAAGAAGCTCCAAGGGGAACACATTCCATTTGTGGAGACACCCGAATGAAAAAAGGGTTAGGCTCCAAAATAACATAATACTTAACAAACCTCCTACTGCCAATAACTAAGCCATAAGAAAGGCAAGATGGGGAAAAAATTGCACAGAAGCCAGGAAATGGAATGATCAAGTGTCAGGTGAAAGAGGGTGGAGCCAAGCTCATGGTCATCTGGAGAACCCCAGAAGAACTGGATTTCGCTATTGGATCTGCGGTCCTGCACTACTGCTTCCAGATTATCTAGAATCAATGGGTGGAAACAGGGTAAGGAACCATGAATAACTTGTTCTTAGTTCTTGCTCTTTTCCATGCACAAACATGTCAGAATATGGCTTCCAGCCCAGACTAGTAACATGTTTGCAACAGCAAGATTCCGAAATAAAGGGAAGCGTCTGCTTCCAACCTAATCGGATGGGTTTCTGAATTGCTTTTCTTTAGTTTTCATGAGCATCCACTCTAATATCCAGAGTGCTTGATTCCAAGAAGTGAATAAGCCAATTTTTCTTTGCACGATGATCAGATGAGCACTCTTTCAGATGAGTGATAAATGCATACAAATTAACATTTATATACTGCAGTATCTGCTAATTAGCCATCAAGGCAGATACAGAATTAAAGTACAGAAACTGATCACAAAAATAGCATGCTACAGCAATAACCACTTTGGTAATGCAATGGAATTACAACTCATCCATGCTATCAAACCTACTATTGGGTGAGTTTTGCCAATAGAAAACATTTTCAGATTCAACTGTGTACAAATGGGGTGGGTGATGCAGATATCCCCTCCTCCATTCACCTAAAAATACTTTGAAGAATGAATAGGTTGAACAGTGCTGAAAGAAGGGTACAATCCCAGATATTGGGCAGAGGTACCTTCCATGAGCACAGTCCTTCTGCCCATGAAAGGCAGATCCAACCCAGTTCCTATATTTTTTCATTTGAAAATTATGATGTATTTTATCATAAATTAACTTCAAGTGAAAGGCACCAAAGTATCTAAGTGCTAGCTTATTTAAACATTAAAGTAACTAGCTGTTCCCAAGATCAGGGCAAACTTCAGTTAGGATTGTTAAACAACAATTACCTTGTGAAAAGTTTGGAGACATGAGTGGGTTTACAGCAAACAAATTATTTGTTCTAGGAGGTGTCCTTAACTGTTGTGGTGCTGGAACCTGTGATGCAAGAGATGTTGAATTGCCAGGCAACACAACCAAATTAGATGGAGTAACATTTGTACTCAAAGCCGTTGGCTCCGTCATACAGGTGGCAATATAGACACTGTTGGAGTTGCCAAAAGATGTGCTTGTGGCTGGCATCAGCTGTATAAATCCTCCATCCTTGGCAACACTTGATGCCCCAGCAAGAGAAATAACAGCGCACTCTTCATTCTGTACATTCAGCGTACTTACAACAGAGTCTTGAGGTCTGAGGACAAGAAGATTTTGTTCCACCAAAGGTGAATCTCTAGTTGTTTCAACCTCTTCCGAAGTAATGCATTTGGATTGTCCTGTTGTGTTGGCTGGTGTTTTAGCTGGAGAAGATAGTATTATAGTTGGCAAATTTTCTTCAGTGATGCTGGAAACAGCATTGTTCAACTCTGTCTCTGATGAAATGAATGGGTCATCACTGATAATTATCTTTAGGGAAACTACACTGGAGGGATCTGCACCTGTGCCTTGATTACTGGATGAAACACTACCAGCAACTTTGTTCTCTGGACTTGATTCTCCAACTGGCTCTGCAGGAGAATGGCATACACTGGATGTGGTGGGGATACTCTCAGTGGATGTTTCTATATGCCTCTCATGGTCAGAAGTTAGAAATATACTGTCAGCATCTGTTTTTGTAGAAGATGACGGCTCCTGAAATTCGACTTGTGTAGAATCTTCTGATTTCTGTTTTTGCTGTTTAGCACAAGACTCTGAATGCAGAGACTGATCATTTGAATGAGGATTGTTGGAAGTATCTACAACTTCAAGCTGGAGCGCTACAGTATTTGGACTGGATGTGTTCACAAGTGCTGTGGCAGAATCTGATTCCGATTGCTCCTGGCCTTGACAGTGAGAGAGTGTAGGACTGTTAGGGTTTTGCTGGCCTGATTCAGGAAATATAACTGACTGCTCTTCTACTCCTTCTAGACTTTTATCTGATTCTGCTGAATGGCTAGAGTTAGTTACATTAGATTCTTTTGGTATTTCACTGTGACCAGATCTCAGAGGACTGAGTAATTTTGCATCTGTCTTTTCAGACAGTATATTATTTGACAATGAACAACACACAACTCTACCAGACAATGATGTCTGAGTTCTTAGCAGATCATACTGCAAGTCAGGTAAATCTTGAACATCCTGACATAACATCTCATCTGTTCTACAGTCTTGTGGTGTTGTTTCTTGTTTGTTATAAGATCCTACACTGTGCCCACCAAACTGTGGGCCAGAGATCTGATTCTGCCCAGATTCAAAGGTAGTTTTATGTCTGATTCTTTGGTCAGCTGTTCCTTGGTCAGGTGTTTTCATTTCCACCGAATCACTTTCACTCCTCACTTTGGAGTCCTCAGGAAATTCTCCAATTACTGCAGTTTGCAACTTCAGATGTTCCTCCAATGTCACATTGTTACCACTGCCACCAGTCTTCAGGACACATGTTGTTTTTGAATTGTCTCCTGGGTATGAGAGACTCTCCTGGGAATTATCACCTGCAGAACAAAATTTCAGTAAAACCATGAATATGTCAAACTAGCCAGGTGGAGTCTGCACTTTTTGAATCAAAACCAGTATCAAGAAGAGTGTTCTGCAACTATTAAATAAAACAGATCATGGAAACACATTTTAGAAGTGCTTACCAAGTTCTTTTGTTGCAATATAGCTTTCAAGTGCTTCTAGGTTTGCTTCATCCACCAATATTGCATTTTCTACTCCTCCACTCTGTGTGGGAATGCCATGAGAAGTATTTCTACCACCCTTGATTTTACCTATTTTAAAACAAAGGAAAAATATGGGTGAGTGCTGGAACTTGATAAAAGGTCCAGATATTAAACTAAAAGCAGAAATGAAAGAAATAAGTTCAGTCCTAATCAGGAGCAGGAACTTAATCAGACACATCTGTGTTTTTAATAAATTCATCCTTGAAAATATTTGGGCAAGCACAGTAGGGCCAAAATAAAGTTTTTGGCATGTTTGATTTCTTGCATCCCACCAATTCTGTAACTTAAATGATGTGTCCTCCATTTTCAAACTTTTTTTTGTGGCAATGGTGGTGGTAACTATCTAGCCTCTCACTGACCACAATTACCAGTCATTTCTAAATCTTATAGCAGTAAACAACTTCAGAATAGTGGTAAGTCTGACATTCACTACAAAAACCAATCACTGACAATCCAGTATCAAGAAAATTATGCTCTTCAATAAAAAAAAGCAAGATCAACATGCTAACATTTTGTTGTCTGAGAAATACTTCTGGGCACAATCCAACTAACAGTAAATACTTTAAATCCTAAGTTTTTAGGGGAGGATTTATGGCATGCTTGTATCACCCACAGAAACACGTGATGATCCAACCAATGCTGAAGCTTTTTTGTATTTCATGGTGCCTGTCAAGACCAGAAACATCTTCAGGGCTCCCTCTGTTGGCCAAGGGCTGGCGGAACAGCTCTGGTAGTTGCAGGATTCTGACCTCAGTCTGCTGGAGCTGCCAGGGCTCTCATGAGTTCCATGTGCGAAGCCCTGGGGAAGAGCTATGTAAGAACCAGCTCTTCCCCTCAGAAGCTGCCTCAGCAATGAGGTTCTCCTGATGTTGGTGAAGCCTGTCCTGGGCTGCTAGACTTGAAACTCTGTGCCCTGCCTGAGCTCCTGTTCCTATGACTCCCGGATCCCGCCTGCACCTCTTTTCTCCCTGACTGGTCTGCCTTCCTCGGTTCTCCGACCCTTGGCCTGTTCTGGACTACACTACCTGTCTGAATGGACTTGGCTCATATATTGACTTCTGGCTTGAACTTTGGACTGTGCATTGGACTTGTCATGCCCTGTCTGCCTGGGCCCTGGTGCCTTTACCCTGTTAGTCAGCCGCCCTCACTCCGGATGCTGACAGTGCCCTTCTACATGTCAACTCAAAAATTTTTCTTGCTGAGTTTAATGGGCTTGCTCCCAAATAATTGGGTATATGACTGCAGCCAAAAGTTCCCTTTCATTAAGCTTACTGTATTCAAAGTGAGGAATAATTCATACCAAAATCAAATATATCGAAGAGCCCTTGAAATGCTGGATCTGACTCTGTTTGCTCCAGAATCTCCTGGATTGCTTCTTCAGTCATGTGAATTTCACCCTGCTAAGTAGGTGTGTAAAAATAATCAGGAAATGAGAAAGAGTATTACTCAGAAAGGCATTTTGAAATATTCCTTCCCACAAAAAGGAGTCTGTAAAGTAAACCAAAATTCAGTGATAGCTGAAGTGGTATTAGAAACCATTCTGACTGTACAGTGGTACCTTGGCTCACGAACTTAATCCGTTCCAGGACTCTGGTCGTGACCCAAATTGGTCGTGATCCAAGTTAAATTTCCTCATAAGGTTCAATGTAAATAAGGTTAATCCATTCTGTAACCATTTTTTAAATCAGAAAAATGTGAAGCAAAGTGACAACAAAGATCATGGCCATCTCCCCCCCACCCCAAGCACAAGCGCAGCCATCTCCCCACCCCCGCAGCATGACTGAGATGGAGCCTGTCATCCTGGCATGCTGGGGGGTGGGGGGGAGACGGGCATGATCGCGGGTGTACTGGGGGAGGGAGAGATGGGCACAAACGGTGCGCTGGGGGTGGGGAGATGGCCTCGATTGCAGTTCCGTTCGTGCAGGGAAGGCGTGCCTGATCAGAGGCGCGCTCCTGCAGGAAAGACAGGCGGAATCTTGGCCATCTCCCCTGCGGCTCTGCTTTGCTGCTCCTGTCTTTCCTGCAGGAGTGCGCCTCTGATCACGCACGCCTTCCCTGTACGAATGGAACTGTGATCGTGGCCAACCCCCCACTGGGGGGGGGGTGGAGATGGCTGGGATCTTGGTCGTCACCCAAAGCAGTGTTTGCGACCCAAGTCAAAATTTTTCAGAAATTTTTGTTCATGACCCAATTTGTTCATGAACCAAGGCGTTCATAAGCCAAGGTACCACTGTACTTGTATCTACAAATTATTACGAGGATATTACTGAAATCCAATATAGCATGGCAGTTCGTGTTGGACTAAGGACCTGGAAGATCTAGATTCTAGTCCCCACTCAACCATGAAGTTCACTCAGTGACACTGGGCCAGTCAATCCTCTCAGCCTAACCTAACTCTCAGGGTGAGTGTTGTAAGGATGAAATGGAACTAATTCAGGTTCCTCACAAGAGGAAAAAAAGCGGGATATGAACGCAATGTAGTAAAAATAGTAATTTTACATTTGTTGTTCTGCTGAACTGCTGCATTGCTTTCTATACTGGACCCGCTTGAAGAATGTTTGGAAATTTAAGCTAGTGAAAAGTGCAGCAGCTCAACCAGTGTCTGGCTTGTGTTGATTTTTTGAGCCCACTCATTTTTAAACATGCTCATTCTGCAACAGCTCCCAGTATGTCTGTCATCCAATTTAACACGTTGGCTTTCATCTTTAAATTCTTGAGTGACTGGATCCTGTCTATTTCAAGGAATCACTTCTTCTGTACTAGCCCCAGGTCCAAACTTTCTAATGAGTTCAAGATTATATTTATCCCATGTGTGCTGGAATCTTTTAATCTTCTACAGTAACAGGGGCACCTGTTTTTGGCTGTGGGAGCAGCAGGCAGTGTTTGGTCAGGAACCATATGATATGTACACACATGGGAAACAGCCAGCCCAAGTGCTCTGGGATCAAGTGTGGTGACAATCATACATGGTCAGCAGCTTGACTTTGTGGGTCCTAAGTTTTGTAGGTCTGCTTGAACATAACAAATTGATCCTGACTGTACACAACTGTTTGGTGTACCTTTTCTGTTTCATACCTATACCTGGTAGCAAAAATGAATACATATTAGACCTCAGAGCCTTACCTGAAGACCAAGCAATTCATCAATTGAAGACTCCTGTATTGTTGGGCCACTGTCTGCCTGCTTTGTTGTTTGAGAAATACTGCCATCACTGGAAAATATAGTTACAAGTATTTAGTACATTACAGAAATAACCTAGGTCTAGAATGTTTAAAAGCAAGATCTGTTACCTGCCCAAGAATTTGTTAATATTTTCAGCTAGCTTCTCCTGAAGACATTTGTTGCTCAGAATTTTCTCTCTGGCATTCTCAATAATCATTTGCTAGAAAACATAATTGAAATGGTCCAAAGTAAGATTTTTATAATTACTAAAAAGGAATCATTAATTCTATCAGTATACATGATAATTCCCCAACCCTCTACCAATATCCTATATCTTTTCTATTTGCAAAGCTATTCTTAATTGAAACTGGCACATTTGCAACTGCTTCTCACAAGTCACTAATCTTTTTACATCAACCTGAAAATACGTTTGTGCACCGAAACCAACCCAACTGGAAAGGGCCTAAGGTGAATTTCATGCTGCATGCATTAAATAACTTTACTGCAACATGGTAACTGGAAGGTAAAATTAGCTCTGCAACATTCTCAACTATAATATTCAGTTACAATTCTTGTCATATCTGTGATGTATGTTTATGCTATACAACACTTATATCTAAATTCTTCAAATGTGATAGTTTGCCAAAAGAGGTTATCAGAAACTACACAAAAAGCATTTGTTTTTGAATATTTTTCAAAAAACTTCATTATATATATATAGATAGATAGATAGATAGATAGAAATGCACAAAACTGGAGTGATCACAGCAAAAAGTTAAAGTGGGAATAAAGCAGGAGAGAAAAGTTCCTTTACAAAGTGGCTTACAGGAAGGTCACCATCTATAAGTTCTAGTGGTTCACTTTCTTCTTCCATTGGTGAGCTTTCTGGTTCCACTGTGGGCGGGTCCCGCAAGCCACAATTAGACAGTGGTGGTCCAGATGATGCAGTATTTCTTTTCTTCTGGGAATCACTGAAATATTTCAGAATTTATTAGAAATGGAAAGATATGAAAGGGACTCATAGCATACAGTTAATATATTTATTCTTCCTACTCTGCACAGAATATTATATTTACCTGTTTCAACAGAACCTAGTAAGGACAGTCAATTCATTAAGACATTTGTTGTTGTATGATTTCAACAAGATTAAATGCTGAGGGAAAAAGTCAGGTGAAGCAATTTCATCAAAATCCATACACAAAAAAAGCTGGAGCAGGATCAATCCAGTGCTGTGAACCTCTCCATGTAGATCTGTGTGGGTACTCCACCATTCATGGAAGATGCTTAACTCTCAATATACAAGTGATACTTACATTCTTAATGAGTTAGCTTAGAGCTAGCATTTACCTTTTCCTTTTCCCAGGAGACAGTACACTTGAATGAAGCTTCCGTTCTTGAAGTGAAGAAACCAAGCTCAGACAGTCTCCTGCTTTAAAAAGAAGAACTGAATAAACAAATACTACTAGTGCTGCTTCTGGGATATCAAAAAATGATTTTCTCTTGCCCAGTGAAGCCAATGCAATGGTGAGTCTGATTTCCCCCCCTCACAGTTATGAGGATTTGGGCCATGATCTATTTTCAGATTCTAATACACAAACTAGATTCAGTGTCAAAAAGCCAGTTTGAAAAGCTGCATTTCATCCATGGTTATATAGTATTCTCAGCATCTTCACTGCCTGTTATGTATAAAATGAGAAATAAAACATCTGTCACAAACTTAAACTTACTATTAACATGGCTTTCCTGCACTTGACACTGAAGTGCAAATGAAGAATTTGATCTTGGCTGGCTTGGACTTGGAGCGATAATTGGTTTAAGAATAACTTGTGTGGCTGTCATTGGAGAAGAGTTTAGTTGCCCTGGCTGGTGAGCTAGAGATGACGACCCTACACCTGAAGAGGTTGACTGTTGAAGGCATTTCTGCTTCTTCAAATCTGCAATTGCACTTCTTGTACGGCCTAGAAGAAGGTTTAAAAGAAAATTAACAAGAGACATTGAAATGTATTAAGTTGTATCTCTACTGCTTTGAGAGCTAGTTGTGGAGTTGAAATATAACCAATTGTTCCTTCACCTTTGAAGTTACTCTGAGACAGAAAGCAGCTACAGTTTTCTTGCTAAAAAGATTGTGTCAATTAACGAAACTAATACTAGATGCTGTGCTAACAGTGTTGTAGATTCAGGAGTATTAACAGGTTACAAATACTCAGTTATGGAATCAAAGCTGATTTATACATGCAGAGCTCCTGGCACATTCCTAATCACAAGCAGATCAGGACAACTGTTGCATCTCATACTTCATCCTTTCTGAAACTAGCACTACAATAGTTTTAACTTGCCAATTTGCTTTTTTTGTGAGGGAAGTGAAGAGAAGTGGAGTAGGAATTTGTGTTACCTATGGAGAGAATGACTGAAGGAAGAATGGGATGTTTGTACCCTTAGATAAATTGCTAAAAATACTGAGCCTTGCCTCTTAGGCCAGAATGCAGATCTTCTTTCAGCCGCAAAGCCAAATTCAATTTTGTTGAAGCTATCAGGGGCTATATTCCAGTGGTGGAAGGGGATGAACACAATGGCAGTGTAGCAAATCGCTCCTCCCTGCCCTATGCCACCATGTTTTAATTTAAAGCTTTTACTGGCCATAAGTAAACCCTTAGGTAATGCATTTCAACATTTTCAATGGGGAGGGGGGACTGGCTAAAAGGCAGGAAAACACCCATTGGGAGAAAGGGAGGACTAGATTAGGATCCCCAAGAGGCGGAATTTCACCTAGAGCCCCCAGGTTCTTTGCCTCTAAGGACTATATCCATCTTTAAGATATAACTGAACATTAAACAGTTACACCATACATGTTTTGCAAATTCTTATCACTTTAAGGCTTCAATTCTATGCATACATAGGTAAAAATCATTTTCTCTGAAATCAGTAGATTTCTAAGTAAATATGCTTTGAATAAGGCTGCAGTTTGAAGAGTGAACTCAGACCATCTCACACAGATGCTTTCTGATACATACTTCGTTGATGAGCAGAAAATCCACCAGAATTCTGCATGCTCCTGAAAAAATTAAATTGCCAATCTAAATTAGGATACAATATTCTACAATTGCAGAATGCATGCTCAATTTCATATGGGTTAGTTAGATGATAACTAGAAACATACATATTCAGAGAAGAGATAAAACAAATGTAGAAACATGAATTCAAAAATCAAACATGAGTAACAATTAACAACTTTTATGAATTGAAAGAGGCAAAAAAGTTCTGTAGTCAGAAAGTTTCGCTTTATGCAAAAGCTTTATCCTCAATTTTACAACTTGGGACTACAGGTGAAGACATCACACTCCTGGCACTTTTGTTTGGCCATCCTGATTTGGCAAATCTTGAAGATCAATCTTACAAAGCCCAATAATTTACATACACCAATACCAGTAGGTCGCAAAGAACACCCATCACAATAGTTGTACAAAGGAGGACTGTCCCATATAATAAAGGCATATAGATTATCTGAAATATGTGCTATTTGTTTTAAAAACAAATTACCTGATTTGGGAAAGAGTATAGTCCAACTTCTTCCACAAGGATGACATCATTGCCGGAACATCATTTGTTGCTTCTTTAAAAAAAAAAATTCAGAAAAAGACTTACGTCAAACATTAAAAAGGGATTTTGACCGGAAGGTGTATGATTGAATTGATAAGGACTACACAATGAACAGAGTAAAAATAAAGAGCTATAAAAATCTGCTTTTAGTATCTCTCAATTGAGCGTTGGGAAGGAGAAAATTTGGGAAATGAAGACATATTGAAAGAAAGGCAATATGTCTCTTTAGAAATAAGTCCTTACTAGTGTCAATAGAGCTTATTTCCTAATATGTGAAATCAGTTTTGTATTGCAAGGTATTAGTGTGTATGTGGAATTATCAGACTTGCCTCAACTTAAATTCTATTCTGAAAATAACTAAAATGTATGATGTTACTGCTTTCATATTTTATCATAACTGAAACAATTTTGAAACAACTACAAAATAAACAATTACTTTAAAGTGCAATATTAGCTGTATTTTTCTGAATCTGACAAACCAACTCCAAAACATGTTTATCTAAACAAATGTTTACACTTAGGCCAAAGCAAGCTCTGTATCATATGCTCCCTCCATTTCCTGGGGACAGGAGGAATTACTTGCCAGGCAGTCCCTTATCCAAAACGTAACTGAAAAAATCACCTCAGAAGTAGAAACATCTAGTCAAAAATCTGTCTTTACTACATGCTAAATATCTGCAATAATTTTTTCTCTTAACCTTCTAAAAATACAGCATCAAAAATAGCTATGATCACCTGTTTTAAAATCAACTATACCATATTACTATTCTGCATTACTATATTTATTTATCTAAAACACTTATATCCCATCTTTGTCAACAGGTTTCAAGACACTTCACAACAGAACAGCACAATTAAAATACTAAAAAAGTATACCCAGGAATTGATGCACATTACAATTAAGCAGCAGCGTTTAATTTAAACCAGCCCAACTCCCTTGATATTGACTGTGCCAAAGTCAGTTACATCAGAAAAGTGGTTTCATTTGACTGATATTTGGCAAGTGACACCACAGCCCCTATTTGGAACAACAATGTATGCCTTAAAAGGGCCTAATTTAAGCACATACAACTTCCCTATTGCAATCAGTTCAACATTTAAGGTCCTCCAGATGTTCTAGAATAAATGAAATTTGCAGGAAACTTTCAGGAGCAAGGTTCTCCGGTAGTGTAACTAACCTGGTAGAACACCCTCTCTTGGGAGGCCAGTTTGACATTCAAGTGCGTGTTGAAAACGTGGCTTTTTCAGAAGGTTTAAGGACCTGCTCAGGGATGTTTCCAGCTGCCTTATTTCAGTTGTTACACTGCTGGTTAATGGTCATTTAATTTTTGTAATCCATATGCTTGCTTTGCTTGAAACCTACCTTTATTATGCACTGAATTTATTTTATACAAAAACTGGAATAGAAATGTTGAAAATGAAATACATTAAATAAATGTAACTCTGAATGATCAGTGCAGCTCAGGTTTATTGTTAGAATAGCCAAATTCTGGTAATACAGAATCTAAAACCTGCATCTTCCAACCCCATCACCCATGCTTACCTTTTGATTTCATTGCTATGTACTCATTCAATATGGTGATTAAGTTTTTTCCAAACAAAGACTGAAGAAAAGAGAACAACATTAAGCCACAGTTTTTCCAGAAACAACAAAATGCAATAGTCCTTCTTATCAAAAGCACAGTGGTTAGAATACACTGGGGACATGGTCACACCAAACAAGCCATTTTAACTGGGACTACAATGGATGGGAAAATATGGTACTTCAATCCATCCTAAATTCAAATATTAATCATACTGAATATAGCAAAATTCAGTAACTAATATAATTGGATAGTATCCTAAGTAAAAGCATATACTCACCAGTAAGCAAGCTGGAACAAAGCCTTCCCCTGTACAATGCTCTGCATATTCTTTTAAGTCTGAACTTTCCAATATAAATGCTTGGCATGTGGCTAAAAGCCTTTCTTGTTGTAAGTACCCTGCAACAGACAAAATACTTTTGCTTATATATCAGTTATGTTACCTTATATATCAATTGGTGAAGGAAAAAACATAAAGCAATACTGCAGTGATTCACACAATTCGCTGAATTTATGGTATGTTTTCAGAAAAAGTATCCCTTGATATTTTATAAGCAGTTTTAATTGTACCATATTATTAAGGAAGCATTAGTAAAAAAAATTATAATGCCACCACAGAATGTTTTCCAAGGCTGAACACTTACATAACAGTAAGCCTTACTGACTACAGTGGAAATTAATTTACAATAAATATGCGAACTCTTGCACTGTTAGCAACAAATAAGAACAGTAGCAATGAAAGTTTGAAGTCTTGTTTTAAAAAAGCTGAAAAATAATTCTAGAAATAGAGGAATTTAAGATTTGATATGGAATATAATGAAAGATGCAACTCACTGCAGGAATAAGATTTCAAATCAGTGCCTTGTGGCTCCTTCCTTCCTTTATATCCTTCTTTTTTTCCTTCAAGGAACTCTTACATAATTGTTCATCTTATCCTCACAACTCTGTGAGGTAGGTTAGGCTGAGAGTGAGTGACTGGCTTAAAGTCACCCAGTGAGCTTTTGTGGCTGAATAGGGATTGGAACGCAGATCTCCTGGATCCCAATCCAACACTCTAACCACCATACTACACTGGCTATCATACTCCTATTGCCACCATGTAAACGTGATCTTTTCTTTTGCAAAATAATTTACAGATGTTAGATGCATAGCAAGCAAACTGTATGAATATCAAAACTAAACTGTGTGTGCAGTTGAAGGGAAATATATTTAGTTTATGGCATCATAAAATAAGAAATAAGTCACTAATTTTACTGTAAGTTTATATAAACAAAAAACAAAATACAAGAACCAGTATCAGTGTCTCTAATGAAGGATCAAGGGGCTCCCTATGTGAGCCCCTTGTCTTTTGTTCTTTTCATGCTGGACATATAAGCACAATATTTGTATATGCACATTTAGAAAAGTATATAAACATACAGTACAACACATAAGCCTGAACAACATGAATTATATCTGACATATATAGTAGGAATCTCCCATGTTTGCACCTCTTTTTACAATCATACATGGATATCCAGTAATCCCAGAGACAGAACTGATGGATAGAGAGGCATAACTTCAAGCACATAAATGCACATTACTGTGTGCAGAAACCAATAAAAAAGAATGACCTGTGTTTGTGGAGAGCATGTTGGATTATAAACAAGCTCACAACATTTTGGGATCTGACATTTTCAGCACTCCCTTTACTGGCAGGGGTGAATGGGGGGTGTTATGAACAGATCTACCCACATACTTATTTACAAAACAATTATTTCTTTTGGCTCTTTTAAGTGATCTCTTGGGGATCATTGTGATTCCAGTAAGAAAAGGTGTGAAACCAGCACCAAGTAACAAATTCTGTAAATCAGTTTGCTTATCTTGGGTGGTTTATTTAGCAGCTGGTTGCATCTTCTCATTTAAAAAAACGTAAACACCTTATGCCCAGTTTATGCTGCATAAGCCAGCACAGAAAACTGAATACCTAAGAAAATGCAAATGCATATAAACATTTTAAGGCACAATGCAATGTAAAAGGCCTCAACATTTTACACACAAAACTTGCTAAAGATATACAGTCCAATGATAGTGTAGGCAGCTCCATTTTTCTGAGGTTATATCCAAAGGAACCAACAAATGACAACACCAAAACTGCATATGCATACACTAATTTTCTGATTGTGCATTTTGCAATACATTTTAATGCTAAGCCACTTCAGGATCCAATCCTGACAAAAAAAGTATACAATACATAACTTTATTATTAAAAAACAACAGCTTGTCTTTCAAAGAGAAGGGGGGCAGGTTCAGGTAGAGTAAATGAATACAGAGCCTTCTATAATGTAAGAGGAAGCAATCACAGACAAATCTTTATTTGAAATGTTAAGACTCTTCAAGCAAAAAGGATTCCCGAACATTTTACTTATGAATTAAGCCAGCTTCTGACAGCAGACACATGATTAAAAGATGCGACATAGAAGGCAAGAGGGATGGAGAGCGAAGAGAGAAAAATACGGATGCGCATGAAAACAGAGATGTTTCCAGCGTATCCTATTTAGTTCGATGCTTCTTTGAGAAAGGGAAAAGAATGGTTCGCCATTTGGCGTGCCTTTCCTGAAACCCCTCAGAAGCCCACACGGTAAGCCAGACGGAAAGGAGCGAAGGGGGCCATTTTCCGAGCCGCCTTCTTCGGAGCAGCGTCCCTCTTCGCGCTTACCCAGCACCAGGCGGGCCACGTCGGACGGCAGTAACATGGCGAGAGGATCGGGAGCAAGGGGAGCCTCCCCGAGCTCCCGCGGGGCGGGGGCAGCAGCAACGCTCAGAAAGGCGGGTATTCCCCTCGCGATGCCTCAGACCGATCGCCTCCAGAAAGGCGCCCAAACCTCCCCGCAGCAGCCGCCGCAACCATCCTCATCCCCGCCCAGCGACTTCCGCTTTCAAGAGCAACAACAAACGAGCTTCCGCTTCCGGTGTAGGCGGGGCGAGAGGAGGTGCCCCCCCTTTCGTCTGGTGACGTTACTGCGCTGCTTTGCTTTCGGCGTGGCGTCCGCGAGGTGACGTGGCTGAGGCGGGAAAGTGTGGATGACGTAGGCGCCGGAACAGCGTGGCTGCGCGGAGCCTGCAGCCCTGCGACGGGCGCCTCAGGTGCGCTCGCTCTTTTTCCCGGCGCGGACCTCGCCGCCCGTCGGCTGAACGGTCTTTTCCCGCTCGCCCTTGAATGCTTTCCCGCTGCTCCGCCTTCTCTGCCTGCCTTCTGTCGGTCGCCCCCCTCGCCGCGGCTTTGCATCCTTTCGCTGGGATGCCGCCTGCCCAGATTCCGAGCCTGCCCCCTGAGGGGAGTGGTGGGAGGGGAGCGGGTCGGTTTCCATCCGTCGGGACGTGACCCCCCTAGAGCAACAGCTGTGTCCAAATTCGGTGCTCTAGCGGGCAGCGGGTGGGCCAGTGTGCACATGCAGGGCTTCGGGGTGACGGGATTTAAGTGTTGTAGCCGCATAAAGAACAACACCCTCATTCGAAAAACCCCCCTGTGTTCGGTGAGACTTACATCAGAGTAAGCCCGTGTAAGCCGCCCAGAGAGCTTCAGCTATACGGGGAGGGGTATAGAAATAAATTAATGGGTAAAGTTACACATTTTGGTTGCTGAAGACAGGATTTATTTAATTCAGTGGAGCTTTGGAGGAGATATTTGTAAGATATACGTAAGGAATAGGATTACGTTGGTACAGCTAACTCTAGAAAAAGGGGAAGCATTGAAAGGACAGAAAAATAAATGAGGTGAAGTCTAAATAGAATGCACAAAGCGCATGTGTTATACTGTGTGGTGTGCCTAACGTGATAGCATCTTATTTTCTTCAGGAATGAGATTTTGCTGCATAATGTTGTAGTAGCTGTTCACACAGTGACCAGCCAGCTGCTGTGGGAAACTGACAAGGGGAACAGCTTTCTCATGTTCCCGAGCAGCTGGTGTACATAGGCATACTGGTTCCAGTACAAAAGGTAGCATATAAGCCGTTGTGAGTACCATTCAGTGTAGTCTTAGTTTACATTAATTTGGCTAATCCCCAATAAGGAAAACAGTTTAATGAGAAGGTTTATGTAAAGAGTGACTGTATAGATAAATAAAAAAATGGTTATGTACTGATGTCTTAATTAAGTGGCTCGCAGCTAGATAGGACTATGGTAAATTCTTTTCTGTGGCTTGCTCTGAAGTCTACTTCACATTCATAGAAACAGCAAGTCAAAAGGGGCCTGCTGAGCCATCTAGGCTGACCTCTGGCTCCAGTCGGCTCTGCTTATGACATGCATACCATTGACTGTCTACATTCAATTCATCATCAGTTATTATATGCCAGTGTTACTGCTTTATTGGATGTACACAACAAGACATGGGTGCAATTGCACCTCACACTCGCATTCTTGAACAACTGGTATAGAGAGGCATCTTGCTTCTGCTCCTAGACATGATTCATAATAATCATGATTAAGAAGCATTGATGACCTTATACTCCCAAGTCCCATCAGTACCAGCCAGTATGGCCTATGGCCAGGGCTTATAATTCAACTTCTGGAGACCACAGCTTCACTACCTTTGCTGTACATACTTTGTTAGTACCTGCTTATCCCAGTGCCCAAGTTCTTCCCTGAATTTATCAGATTCCTTTAAAGCCTCCATATTGAAGGCCATCACTACATCTGGAGGAAGCAAATTCCATAGTTTAACTCTATAGTATAGGAAGCAGTTCTTTATCTTGAATCTCCCACTAAGTAACTTCATTGGAGGGCTCCCTTTCAGCTTCTCTGCACCATGTATTGCATTTGGCAGAGTAAAAGGATTGGTTTCTGTCCTGAGGATGTTGCAGTCTAAAATTTGATGCCGGAAGCAAGAGAGTGACCTTTTACCCCTCATTCTCTATTGTACTTAAAATGTTACCTTATAGTTAATAGGATGACTAATGGAGAGATATGTAAATGCATGCCTGAGTTCAGATATTAGGAAATATAATCCTTTCTAAAACAAGGGCAGTATTGATAGCTGAAACAGCATTTGCTTGATCATGTTAGCTCAATTTGTAAATCTGAAATGTGACTGACGAGCCTGTTGTCAGCATTCCTTTTATATTACACTTGTTTTCACCCCTACTGTGTGGAAATAGCCCTTACTAGTTCCTGAAGTGAATTTGTTACTCTGCTAAGTAGTCATGACTGCTTGCTTCCTGTTTACAAAGGCATCATACCTCTGAATACCATGTGCTGGGGGCAAATCATAGACAAAGGTTATCACTTTCATGCTTTCATTATGAGCACCCAGAGGCTGCTTGCTGTTGGATTCAGTGTACTGAACTAGACTGATTTTGGTCTGACCCATCAAGGTGATTCTTGTGTTGCATAATAAAACTCATCCATATTTCCATTTTTAGCTATCTACTGTGAATGCACTGAAAGCTGAGCCATGAGTCTTGTACTCCATGATCTGTTGGCTTGTTGCCGACAGCTTGAAAGTGACAAAGCGACGGAGCGCAAGGTAATTATAACCCCATACCCTGCTTCCACCAGAGAGACATTATCAAGTTTTGTGACACCTTAAATACCAACAAATGTATTACCCCAGTAGCTTCTGTAGACTACATCCTGTTTCATCGAATGTGTTCAAAATTGTACAGCAACTTTTTTTGTTTTAATTTGCTTAGAAGGAAATTGAAAAGTTCAAGCGCCTCCTGTGTGACACTGAAACAATTCAGCAGCTGGATCGGAATTCTGAGTTTAGACAAGGAAAACAGCTGAACTGGGATACTGTATTCAGGTAGAATATCTGTTGTGCATTATACTGTGCAAAGTTTCAGAGAGCCAAGAGAAATGGCCATTTTTGAAGTGCCATTTTATCCTGAATAGTTAATGAGAAAAATCCGATTTCATTGCAAGATGTTTTGAGAAAAATGTCATTGTAACTGGAATAATATTTGGCATTTATGTTGAGCTTTGAAGTGCTTAAAGGTGCAATCCTGTGCATGTTTAGACAGAAAAAGGTCCTACAATGCTGAGCATTTTAGAACTTTTTTCTGCCTGAACATACATAGGATTGTCCTGTGTTACACAGAAGTCCTTACAAACATTCTGTAAGTCAGATTTTTTCCATTATTTGTGAGATGGATAGGGTGTTAGAGAACTGGTGCCTTCCTAAAGTCATCTAAGAAGTCTGTAGTCCTTTTTGTACAAAGAGAAGCACTTTTAATTTCCCCAACTCTTTTATGTATTGATTTTTAACTTGGATTTCATCTGACTAGGTTGATGTGGTTGTGCTGCTATTTTGCTAAAATTACTGTTATTTATGACTTATTTTTGTATCGGAAGCCACCCTAGGAAACTTAAGTTGAAGAACAGGGCATTATATTTCTAAAATAAATAGTGAGTTCACAATGGAGAAGGCATTTTGAACCTTGGACTTACTGGATCACAGTTCAGTCTTTTAGCTACTATGGTATTCTAGCTGATACCATGAAATAGAAGGTGGAAAATAATGACTCATTAATTTAGCCTTGGATGTTCCAATCTATTCAACAAGCTGTAGCTTCTCTTCCCTATAGCTGTTATTTGCCCTACCCAATCCGCTTGCTTATTCTTCTTTTCTTGTACATGCCAAAATCATAGCTCAGGAAAATGAGCACAGCAACCAAAGAGTTCTGCTGTGTTTCTTCTATCTAAAAAATATAGTGCAGATTACTGCTGATTGTCCAGGATCAACTTATTTTTGGTCAAAGCATACTCAAGTGGCAAATTCCAGGACTTTTTAAATCTGTGTGTTTGTGTGAAGAAGGAACTACCAGAAAAGTTAGCACTAAAACATGGTAAAGGAAGAATGAGGTTCCTGATTTGAGTTTTTGTGCCCATGAGGGATGTCTGTTATTGTCTTTGAAGGTTCCTGCAGAAATACATTCAGAAAGAAACTGAAAGTGTCAGGTTAGCAAAGCCAAATGTATCTTCTTCAACACAAGCAACAAGACAGAAAAAGATGAAAGAGATGAGCAGTTTGGTCAAATATTTCATCCGGTGTGCCAATAAAAGTGAGTAGCATTTGTGTAAATATAATTAGGAATGCTTTAAATAGTTGTTACTGAGATTCAGTGCATAAACTGCCTAGGTTTTATTGATCATTGTTTATGTTGCCTGAGTCTTATTGATTGTATGGATGTTTTATGATTGGAGTACCTGATTCTAAACTGTCTGCTGATATTGTTGATTTTAAACTGATTGATGATATTGTATATTGTTTGGGTAGAGTTTTGTTGTACACCATTCAGAGAGTTCTATGCTAATGAATGATATAAAAAGCCTAAATAAATAAATTATTCTGCTTTTGCACAGGAGCACCCAGGCTAAAATGTCAAGAGCTTCTGATATATATTATGGGTACAGTAAATGATCCATCAGGTTGTGCTATTTATGGAACTGATTGCAGTAGTATATTGCTAAAAGACATCCTTGCAGTGAGGAAATATTGGTGTGAAATATCTTCAGAACAATGGTCAGGTTAGTGCATAACACCCTGTCTCATTGAGTCTTTGATCATCTGAATGTGTGCTTAATAGTAAGTCCTGTTGAATTTAGAAAGATTTTGAATAAACTTGAATGCCTTTTATGTATACAAAACTTGGGCAGCATTAATTTACCCACATACTAGGGAGTAAGTCTCATTGAATGGGGCTTACTCCTGAGTAGACATTTAAAGAAATGCATGACTATTTTTCTCTATATTTTTATCAATAGTAAAATACCCGTGTTTTTCTTTTTGATCTTTTTCTCTATCATTGAATAGTGCGATTTTTTTCAGCCTAGTTTTTCAGCTTTTTTGATATCCTTGCCTGATATATTATTTAATATTAACACATCATAGGGGGTTCATAGGTCTCTGTCCAGCTTGCAATTACAAACGTACAGTTTCATCATGTCAACAATATTTCATATTCATCAGAGTAAACGAGGTGAGATGTTTATTGATTGATTGGGCAGAATTATATCCTACCCTTTTCTTATATCATTTTCCTCCTGCTCTCTGTCTTATCCCCACAAAACAACAACCCTGTGGTTGGACTGAGAGTCTCTGACTGGCCCAAAGTCACCCAGATAGCTTCACGGCTGAGCTAGAACTGGAACCCAGTTCGCTTGACTCCCAGACCCACACTCTTAGCCACTACACCACACTGGCATTGTGTGTAGGTACAGGGTTCTCTTCTTAGTTGAAACAAATAGGACTATGAGTATTTAATAGCCTTCCTACACCCAGCCTGTAGCAGAAAGGGAAGTTGTATATGTAAACTGCATTATTGTTAAGTCACTGGCCATTATATTAAAAATGTAATATGAAAATGTAAAAACTGTAATGTCCTTCAATGTATTTGCTTGTTAGACTTTTCCCAGCCATAGTATTTTGTTACTTATACACCCTGCCTTGAATTTTTCCATCATGGCAGTTGAGAGGGATTGGATTTGAACAACAGTCCAGCTCTTCATGAGGGACAAGCCATGGTGATGGTTGTTATGCAAACACAGACTGATTCCTGCAGGGTAGCTTGTTTGTGGACATCAAGGCATCCCAGCAACCCATGTCAACTCACTGGGATTGTTGCACCCATAACAAATTTTATCATTTGCACCTGGACAACCAATCGTATTGTAGGTTGTGGAAAGTTGATAGTGAGCTGCTTGGTAAGAGTGGCAAAAAACCTGCCCATTGCTGCAGTTGTTAATCCCTTTCGGTCAGTGAGGCTTTCTTCCCATTTTTTCCCTCTGGAGATTGCTTTTCTCAATCTCTGATTTAACAGCAAGTGACAGCCCTGTCAAATTGCCAGTGGTCTGTCACTCCTTTCAAGAAAAGTGAAAGCCATCCTATGTCTTTAGCAAATGTTATGGATAACCTATTTGGATCAGTATACATTTTGAGTGCCTGCACATTTTGACAGCAGATATGCCTCAGGATTTTATATAGGTGAGGCTGCCCATTTTGGCATTTGCACAGATCCGAATAAAAAAAGGTTAAAAATATATTTGCACAAATTTCTTGAACTATAGTAATTTTTAAATGTTCGGCTTGGGCAGCGTGACAGATAATGGCAGCCCCTTCCAACTGGAATGCATAAAAAGTGATCTCTGAAAAAATGGGAGGGGAAAAAAGCCACTGCCAGCACAGAAGAGCTTGTTAGCCAGTAGGGAGGGAGGCCAGACAAGTGGACCTCCCTGTAATACACATGGGAGGTCTTATGGGGGCGGGGGGGGGGGGAGATGATGGGGCACAACCCTCAGTATGCCCAGTTATCTGTCAGGTTCATTGTGGGTTATTTCATGATCCCCAACATAGCTTATTCAGAGAGTGGATTGTCATGCCATGTGGGTCTGCCCAGTAACTCAATATTTTCTGTAGCAGTTATATGCTTGCTTCAGGAAATAATAAAGTGTGAGCATAAATCTGGAACGATAACTGTTTACCTTGCTGGATATTCTGATCTAACTGCCAGTTTTGCTTCTCTTGAGAATTATGCTCATAAGAGAACTTCAAAGTTTGTGCTTGCTGCTTTAAACATGGTTCTTCACTTGAAGGAAAATGGAAGAAGTTGGTGGGTAGAGGTACACTAGACGGGGTGCTCTTTTATTGGGTGATATTTTAATTAGCTATTTAGTATGGCAAGTCATGTTAGGATTTATTATTCATTAATCCAACCATGGTAAGATCCTACTGTTATTTTGTGCTGTACTTGGAAGAGCATATAGGAATGAACAGTGGAAAGGATTGGAAATATTATTAATGTTTAAATTAACAAAACATGTCCATGTTTCTGTGACTTGATCAAGTAATTTGTATTTGGTTTGTCCTAGATCTCCAAAACCTGTTCTTCAAATTATTTCTCAACTCTTCCAGAGATATTAACAAAGTTTTGGTGGCTAGAATAATTTACACACTTACCAGAGGACTATGTTTCCAAACTGATTGTCTAAATTCCAATATTTGTAACTTCTTCTCAAAAGCTATGCAGTGTGCAAGGTAAATACAACTGTTTGGTGTATAAGACTTCATTTCATTTTATTTATTGTTTTTCTCTACCACCCATTAGCTGAAAGTCTCTGCATTCTCTTTGTGCACACTTTACAAAGATTAAGAACTTAAAAATAAATTTTAAAAAATGTACATATAAACAGGTCATATGCACAGGCCACACATGCATGCATGCATACATACACACAGATCTAAAACAATTTTAAAGAATCCACAAAAAGAAGAATCCAGGACCTAACTAAAATTCATCATATGCTGCCTTATTCCTGAAAGAAGATGATCTTAACCTGTTGCTAAAAAGGATGACAACATTGACACATGGCAATTCTTGTGGGGAGATTATTCTAAAATTGCAGTGTTGCCACTGAGAAAGCTCTGTCCCTTGTTGCAGCCTTTCAAATCTTGAATAGGACCTTGGTTGAGTTTCTGATTCAAGTAGCAGAATGCAATGCAGTGCTTCCCACTGGCAGCTCAGGCAATCACTCCAGAGATATTCCATGGTCAGTGGTATTGAAAGCCACTGAGAGATTAAGGAGAATTGACCAGGTCACAGTCTGCCTTTCTCTCTCCTCACAGTTTATTATAAAGGGTGCTTAAGACTGTTTCTCTGCCAGAATCTAGTCTGTACCCTGACTGAAATGGATCCAGATAATCCATTTCATCCAATAGCATTCAGAGCTATTTCTCCTTTGAGAAATGGTGGGGTATCCATTAAATAAGTGATATAATTTGGAATTTCATACCCAGTCCTGGTTAATTGATCAGGTTTAATTAAAATAACTATTTCAATGTCTAATAAAATATACCATACTTTAATTGCAGGCAAGAAAGAAATCCTGCAGGACTTGATCATATTTTTGCAGCCATTAATGAATTTTTCCGTGTATTTGCTGTAAGCCACCGTATACGGGTTTGTAAATTTGGAGAAGAGATTCTGCCAAATGTGCTTTACATATGGTTTCAATATAAACCAAAAGATTCTTTGAAGGAGCAGATAATTGAACTAGTTCAGCTTCAGGTTCGTGTTCATCATCCAAATGGAGCTAAAACTGGAGAAAGGGGTAAGCATAAATTTTCTCATTTCCTGTTTGGAAGAGATATTTCAGGGAGCCTTGGTTCTCCTGTGGGTTGGGATTACTTCTGAATGCTTATGTTAGAAATGTTCTTGAGTATCTTAGATCTCTTTTAATTGGCAAATGTCTTGTAATTTTCCATATCTGCTATAATGTATTGTTGTTGTTAGTTGCAAAGTTGTGTCCCACCCATCGCGACCCCATGGACAACATTCCTCCAGGCCCTCCTGTCCTCCACCATCTCCCGGAGTCCACCCAAGCTCACACCAACTGCTTCAGTGACTCCATCTAGCCACCTCATGCTCTGCCGTCCCCTTCTTCTTTTGCCGTCTATTGTTCCCAGCTTTAGACTCTTCTCCAGGGAGTCCTTCCTTCTCATTAGGTGGCCAAAGTATTTGAGTTTCATCTTCATTATCTGGCCTTCTAAAGAGCAGTCAGGGTTGATCTCCTCTAGGACTGACTGGTTTGATCGTCTTGTGGTCCGAGGGACTTGCAGGAGTCTCCTCCAGCACCGCAATTCAAAGGCCTCAATCCTTTTGCACTCAGCCTTCCTTATGGTCCAGCATTCACAGCCTTGACTATACACACTTTTGTTGGCAGGGTGATGTCTCTGCTTTTTAGTATGCTGTCTAGATTTGCCATAGCTTTCCTCCCCAGGAGCAAGCGTCTTTTAATTTCTTGGCTGCAGTCCCCATCTGTGGTGATCTTGGAGCCCAAGAAAATACAATCTGTCACTACCTCCATTTCTTCCCCATCTATTTGCTAGGAAGTGAGAGGGCCGGATGCCATGATCTTAGTTTTCTTAATGTTGAGTTTCAAGCCAACTTCTGCACTCTCCTCCTTCACCCACATCAAGAGGCTCTTTAGTTCCTCTTCAGTTTTTGCCATGAGAGTGGTATCATCTGCATATCTGAGGTTGTTGAAATTTCTCCCAGCAATCTTAATTCCAACTGGTGATTCCTCTAGGCCTGCCTTTCTCATGATGTGCTCTGCATATAAGTTAAATAGGCAGGGCGACAGTATACAGCCTTGCTGAACTCCTTTCTCAATTTTGAACCAATCAGTGGTTCCGTGTCCATTTCTCACTGTTGCTTCTTGACCCACATACAGGTTTCTCAAGAGATAAATAAGATGGTCTGGTACTCCCATCTCTTTAAGAACTTGCTACAATTTTTTGTGATCCACACAGTCAAAGGCTTTAGCATAGTCAATGAAGCAGAAGTAGATGTTTTTCTGGAACTCCCTAGCTTTCTCCATGATCTAGCGTATGTTGGCAATTTGATCTCTAGTTCCTCTCCCTCTTTGAAATCCTGCCTGTACATCTGGTAGTTCTTGATCCACATACTGCTGGAGCCTAGCTTGTAGGATTTTGAGCATAACTTTGCTAGCATGTGAAATGAGTGCAATGATGCAGTAGTTTGAACATTCTTTGGCATTGCCCTTCTTTGGGATCAGAATGTAAACTGACCTTTTCCAATCCTGTGGCCACAGCTGAGCTATTCAAAATCCTAAAAGACGATGCAGT